ATGCAAGATATCTGGGAAGAAAGGATAGTATTTCATCTATCTGCATAGTCCTACAATATAAAATCCATTTTGCTTTCTGTCTGTTTGGTAAAGCACGTGAGTTCCTTGCACCTGCTTATCCTGTTCTAGGCACAACTTTTTCTGGAATTGCATTTTCAACACTGGCTTTGTCTATAAAAGATTAGTCATTATTACAAAAGTCTAAGGTGTGTGTACCTTTACAAATGACTTTAGAAACAATTGTTGATATGTGTATTGGAGGTGATAAGAGTTTCTATTTTCTAATTACATATAAAAAACAATTTGTATATACCAAGGTGAAACAATTATAATAAAAGATATGAACATCATATCTGGATGATTTAAATTCAATTCTGCCACAAAATGTCCCAAATATCTAATTTCTATCATTCTTTAAATTATGAGATTGTTCTTAGAAAAGAATATAGTATAGTTGTATTAAACAGACAGTTGCAACTCAAAAATTTTTTTAAGTTACTAAGAGCTGGGTACCAGTGGCTCACACCTGTAATCTTTGCTATTCAGGAGGCTGAGATCAGAGGTTTGCAATTCAAAGCCAGCTCAGACAGGAAAGTGTGTAATACTCATCTCCAATTAACCACCAGAAGTGGCTCAAGGAGTAGAGCATTAGCTCTGTGTACAAAAGCTCAGAGAAAGCATCCAGGCCCTGAGTTCAAGCCCTAGGACCAGCATACACACAAAAAAATTACAAAGAATCTCTTATATACTGGAGTTTCAAAGCATAAAGCTCAGAAGGTGGAAGGTATATGACATGGGCTCAAACCTCAGACACAATCTCAGACACACAACCACTCAAACTGTGACTCCATCTCTGATTTTACTGGTTACTTTGGAGATGGAGCCTCACAGACTTTTCTGCCAGGGGATGGCTTTAAACCTCAATCCTCTGGATCTCAATAGGTGACCTGCCAATGCCCAGACTGTATTTACCAATTTAATTCTGACTCTAAGCCTTAAACTCAATTTGAATTACATTATTGTGCTTTGGATTTAAGAAACTAATAAAACTTCAAAATAATGTTTCTGAAACCTATGTGTAAAACAACATAAGGTAAAAATATCCAGGTAGTTCCTGAAATCAAACTTCAAATTTCTATATTTTTATTTTTCATAATATGTAACTAAGAAAAAAAAGATTAAACAAAGTCTGATGGTGATAATCTAGCAGGGTACCAGTGGCTCATGCTTGTAATCCTAGCAATTTAGGAGCCTGAGATCTAAGGTTCCTGGTTCAAAGCCACCCCGGGCAGAAAAATCTGTGACTCTTATCTCCAATTAATCACCAGAAAGTGGCTCAAAGTGTTAGAGCACTGACCTTGAGCAGAAGAGCTAAGGGAAAGCACCCAGGCCCTGAGTTCAACACCCATGACAGGCCAACAACAACAACAACAAAATCCACAATTTTGACTGAAAAGATATGGCAGGGCAGCTAAAGAGCAAAGAGAAGCAAAGGAACCAGAAAAAAGCAGGGGGAAAAAAGTAAAAAACAAAAAATCTCTGCATCTAATTTGACATAACTTAGAAGGGAAAGAGAAAACAGGTAGGACAAGTACCCTGGTGAGAGACCCACATTTCCAAGTGTAAATAAGCCCATACCTCCATAAGCCTTAAATCCAGCAGAGAGGTTTGGTGAGAAAGACTGCTCTTGTGTGCAGGAGGCACTCTGCATAAATAAAATACAAGATGGCAGATTTGCTCAGCCATGAAGCCAGAGCAGGAGCTCCTATACATCTTGACTCACACAGTGGGTGGATGAGGACATATACAAAAGCCGCCAGCTGGGAGAACACACTACTTCTTGCTGGTTTATTTGTTTTGCTTTTCCTTTCTACCTCCATTGCTCTCCCAATGTCCACCGAGACCCCCTGTGGATCCAGAAAATCAGTGGGAATTTAAACCGCTTCTCAGACACTGGGCTCCTAAGTAGAGGAGGTACATGACTGAAGGAAGGCTTAGCCACTACTTGCTGGAAGCAGCCCTGCCTGAAAGGAGCCCCACACTGATAGCTGCCATCACAGAAAGGGCCCATCCAAATAGAAAAAGCTCAGGTTAGGGACAGAAGTTCCATCTGCTCCACCTTCTGAAGCTGCCTGATGCCATCCAGATGCAGACCCACCCATGGAGAAATTTCCCTGTCTCTAGGAAAAACTGCTAGTTAAGAAACATGCTGGCTGGGCTGTTCACAATACTCATCCAAGACAGCCTCACTGGCAGAGCAAGGAGTACCTGCCCACCAGAAAAACTGCAGAATTACAAAACAAACAAACAACAACAAAAAACACTACCTGCTTCACTCCTGAGCACTAAGGATCATAACCACCTATTAGCTTCACCCGACAGAAGCCAACCTAGATGCCCAGTCTATACCTAGAGATGTTCTGCAGGCTGCTGCTCAGAGCAACTCAGTATTAAACTTAGGAAAACGCTGCTGGATCTCTAAGGACTAAAGACTGGAGAACACCAGACAGTTGGAACAGAGCACAGCTTATATCTACACTTCTCAGAAGAAACATAGACTGGTTCATATTGTTTTTGTTTCCCAAACTCTTCTGTATTTCTCCATAAACATAGTGTGCTCTGATACTACTTCCTATACCATCGTTACTCTCTTCCTATCTTTCTACCTCCTTTTCTCACCATGTCCCTTATATCATTTACTTTTTTCTTTTCTTTGGTCAGTTGTGGGGCTTAAATTCAGGACTTGGGTGCAGTCTTGGAGTATTTTCACTCAAGGCTAGGGGCTCTACCACTTTAAGCCAGAGTGTCACTTCCAGTTTTCTGGTTGTTAATTGAAGATTAATAGTCTCATGGACTTTATTGCCCAGGCTGCCTTTGAACCAAATAGCTAGAATTATAGGCATGAGCCACTAGCTACATTATTTACTTTTTAATACCTGCATTTTTAACTACTGTTAAACTCCTACTTTATCCCTAAGAACTCAAGTTCTGTTGCTCTGTAACTCTAATGAGGAGGTAGCTAAGGCTTCCAATCATGTCTTACATTTATTTAAATATTTAGTTTATGGTTGAATTATTGATATTATTACTACAGTAGTCTCTCTCTCATCTGAGAGGAAGTAAAAGCTCTCTTTAGTTAGTAAGATAGCACCTATCCATAAGATTTTCATTGTTCCCTAAATCTTCCTAGAGCTAGGGAATATCCTTCTTTTATTTTATTTTTTTTGCTGGGGGTGGGGGAGAGAAAGGAGAGGGAGGAGTCATGGGGCTCAACTTGGGGCCTAGATGCTGTCCCTGACCATTTTTCTGCTCAAGGCTAGTACTGTACCACTTTGAGCCACAGCTCCACTTCAGTTTTCTGGTGGTTAATTGGAGATGAGTTCCAAGGACTTTCCTGCCTAGGCTGGCTTCAAATCATGATCCTCAGAGCTCAGCCTCCAGAATAGCTAGGATTATAGGCATGAGCCAGCAGAACCAGACTGGTACAATACTTCCTTAGTTGCATAAGATCAGAACTAATCTCCCCCTAACTTGGTAAGACTAGCAAAATGCCAATCTGACTGCTTCTAACTGGTTGTCACAGGATAATCATTAAATAAACAACTATGAAATATTAAATAAATCTCTTGTACTATAGTTTTGCAAGGTGACTACATTAAGAATGGGATGCCAATTAGTTCATAAACTAGTTAAATTAGAATGATGATGTATAAGTCATCTGAATCTGGTAACACAAATGCTAAAATGCAAAATTATATCTAAAGAATAGATATTCTGTTTCTTCAATTAGGAAAGGTACCCAAAAGCGACAAATAGATGAAAACTGTTAATCAAATTATTACTTCAATCTAATGTGTAAAAATAAAGAGAATATAATTCTAATAAAAAATAGGCTACTATAGGTTATACACCCCAAAATACGATGATAGTTATGGATAAGCATTGATATTAACAACAGTCCTTGGAAAATGTTTTGATTTTATTTAAAGTGTTGGCAAACATTGTACTTCTTTTTTAAAAAAAGAGAAAATTCTATATTATATGAAGTTTTGTAAAGTGTATAGAAATTGATTTGCTAGCAGGACAACATAGATGACATCACATTTATTAAACTGTAGAATTACTGCATGGTGCAACATATTTTGTTACTTCATCCTGGGTTTAAAAGAACTTTGATCAAGATCACGGTAAAAGTTACTTTTGAGCCAGGCACCAGTGGTTCATGCCTGTAACCCTAGATACTCATTAGCTCAGATTACTTTTGGTGAGATGGTAAGATTTTCATGAACCTCATTATAAGGTCTCCTGAAAACTTAAGTTTTCTTTTCTTTCTTTCTTTTTTCATACTGGAGTTTGAACTCAGGACTTTTGTGCTTTCTAGGCTGATACACCACTACTTGAGCCATGTTTTCACCCAAATTTTTTTTTTGCTAGTTATTTTCAAGTTTTTCTGCTGAGACTGGCCTCAAACTAAAATAATCATTAAAAATTTCTCATTGTAGGGCTGGGAAGGTGGCTCAGTGGTAGAGCGCTTGCCTTGCATGCCTGAGGCCCTGGGTTCAATTCCTCAGCACCACATTAGCAAAAAGAAAAAAGCCGGAAGTGGCACTGTGGCTCAAGTGGTAGAGCACTAGCCTTGAGCTGAAGAGCTGAGGGACAGCGCCCAGGCCCAGAGTTCAGGCCCCACGACTGCCCCCCCCCCCCCAAAAAAAAGTTTCTCATTGTATTTGGATGCTCTGTTGCTGTATCAGGCCAATAAAACTATGTCTTGGCTTGTAAATATCAAGATTATGCAATGTTAGAATCAGGTTTTGGATCAGTATGTTCAATATTATGTTATAAACTACCTCATGGTATGGACATGATATTATTAAAATTAAAACCTTCAAAACCAAATTTGAAAATTAAAAACTAACAGAACTAAATTTTGGTAAACTGCTATCAACAGTTTACATTTAACAAAATTCACTGCATTAGGGAACACTTCATATTGTACTTACTTCTGTATAACATTTTGTAAGCTTAACATCATACCCAGTTCTCCCTTCATCTTTTCTCTGTTTGCACGACACTCTGCCAAGTATCGAAGAGCCTACAGCAAAAACATAAACAGATTAATGCACATATCTACATCGCTCAAAAATATAATCACCACTAACTTACTGCAAGAGAATAAAAGAAATATAAGGCTTTTTTTTTTTTTTTTGGAGGGTCTGATACTGGGGCTTAAAGTCAGGTCCTAGGCTCTCTCCCTTAGTTTTTGTCACTCAAGGTTCACACTCTTATCACTTGAACCACAGCATTACTTCCGGTTTTTAAGTGGTTAATTGGAGGTAAGAGTTTCACAGGGATTTTTCTGCCAGGGCTGGCTTCGAACCATGATTCTCAGATCTCAGCCTCCTGAGTAGCAAGGATTACAGGCATGAGCCAATGGTGCCTGCTTGCTTCTGGCTTTTGGTGGTTAATTGTAGATGATTGTCTCACAAACTTTCCTACCTGGGTTGGCTTCTAACCATGATCCTCAGATCTGGGCCTCCTGAGTAGCTAGGATTACAGGTGTGAGCACTTTTATTTTTTAATCAAATAGTTTTAAGTATTTAGAAACCGTTCTTTAAATGTGATAATCAAAACACTATCTAAGGGGAGAAAGGACCCTTCAAGCTACTTTGTTTTTTAAAAGTAGTCTGTATCTTATCTAGGTATCTGTATCTTATCAAAGCTAGGTTGTTCTGGTTTATTTTTACTGTTTGATCTTGACAGGGACATCGAGAAGTATATTTTACTTATTAATCCCCAATGACTTTTCAAAAGCCATTGCCTCACAAAATACATTTTAAACATTAATAAAACTACTGAAGGGGACAAGACATACAATAGCTTTCTGAAATAAAGTGATTCTAGTTTTACTATAATCTACTTTTCAAATATGTCTTTAATTAAACAAAGCAAAACTGTTTGGGAATTTTCTATTTTATGAGTTTAACTTTTCTGAAGTACATTTTTACAAATCCCTCATGTGCTGCTTCTTTAGGGATCTTACTTAGCTGCTCCCTTTTACATCTAAACATTGTCATTATCTATAGACCTTCTATGTAATTACTTGACTTTGGTACTTGACTTTTCAGGGGAATATCTCTGTGGTCTACATTATCCAAACTCTTGTCATCTTAGTCCACTCACCTTTCTCATTTCCACTGATTTTTTGCCTTTCAATTTCAAACTGCATGGTCTTTACTAAAATGCGCCAACTATGAAATCACAAACTGAACATATATGAAGTCACAAACCCAATAACTTCTTTTCCTTCTTGTGGTTACTTCTGCTGTAACTTTCATTTCATCCCAATAAAGGTTTACCTGCTTTGGAAACTACCTAGCTACATTTAAAAAGCCTAGCAGACAGGACAAAAATATAATAAATATCTGTTTTCAGACTCAGGTCGTGAGGAAGACTATAATCCTTGAGAGAAGAGAGAAGATGAGGTGAGTCCTAAAATTCCTCCTCTCTTCTTGCACTAGAGGCAGTTTTCAGACTGCAGCATGGTAGGAAGACCCAAATGGAGCCTAGGGGTATTCCTGAGTAAAGGGGATAGAGATGACTTCTGAAGAGTTTGGAGTGGCTAAAATCTACAGGGTAACAAAGGAGAAGGATCTGAACATGTCTAGGGTAAAAGATCACATGGCTAGGATATAAAACTACCTGAAAGCAGGGAAATCAGGAGGGATGCTAGAATAGGATCAAAATATATTGGATGCATATATGAAAGGATCATAAGGAAACTCATTTAAAAAACAAAACTACAAACTGAGATCAGTGGCTCAAGCCTGTATTCCTAGCTGTGAAGGAGGCAAAGATTGAGGAATAATAGGTTTGAGCCAACACAAACCAAAAAAAAAAAAAAACACAAAGAAAACATTCCAGTCTGGGCGTAAAATGAGACTCTATTTTGAAAATAATCAATGCAAAAGGGGCTAGTGGAAGAGCACCTGGGAATGGCCAGAATAGTTGGAATGTTATCAACCAGAAATACAAAGACCTAACTACACAACAGACATCCAGGAGAACCCGTAGAAGAGTTTCATCTTAGCAGTGCAGATATATAAGCTGCTTTGGATCCACCTTAACAAAGCCCAAGGCTGTCTTAAAAAAATAAAACTGGCCCAAAGCTCCAGTATTTATAGAAACAACAACAACAACAACAAAAAAAACATTTTAAACCCAAAACAATAAAATGTTCCATGTCTGGCATCTGATTAGAAATTACCAGGTTATAATTACTCAGGAAGGTGAGCAGATGGAAGCCAGCCAATGTGGGCAGACAAATGACCAGACTTTGACCTCAAAATAACTAGCAAAAAGCTGACATGGAGGCATGGCTCAAGTGCTGACCATGACACAAGAGCACAAGGCACTGAGTTCAAGCCCCAATACTGACAAAAAGAATTACCAGGCATGGCTATGCATGGTGGCACATATCTACAATCCTAGCACTCACAAGGTAGAGGTAAGAAGAACAAAAGTAGGGAGGCTTTCCTGGCTCTCATCTGCAAATCAAGAAAAACATGAGCTATACAATGAGACTTGTTCAAAAAAAATCAAGTGTTGGGCATATTATCTGAGTGGTAGATGACTTGTCTAGTAAGACCAGGCCCTTGAATTTGATCCCCAGGGCCAGGTAAACATTTTCTGAATAGAACTCCAATTTGCCCAAAGCATGGAAGAAAAACTGACAAACAGGACTATATCAAATTAAGAAACATCTGCACAGCCAAGAAACAATTACCAGAACCAAGCAACAATGTACAGAATGGGAGAATATCTTTGCCAGCTATTCAATAGATAAAGGATTAATATCCAGGTTATAAAAAGAGCTAAAAGAATTCAACAGTGAAAGAATAATCCAATTAATAAATGAACACAAATTGAATAGAGAGAAGAAAGATAAGTGGCTAATAGACACATAAAGAATTGTTTACCGGGCTAGGAAGGTGGCTCAGTGGTAGAGCGCTTCCCTTGCATGCCTGAGGCCCTGGGTTCGATTCCTCAGCACCACATAAGCAAAAAGAAAAAAGCGGGAAGTGGCGCTGTTGCTCAAGTGGTAGAGTGCTAGCCTTGAGCTGAAAAGCTGAGGGACAGCACACAGGCCCAGAGTTCAGGCCCACGACCGGACCCCCAAAAAAAAAAGAATTGTTTACCATCCTTCGCCATAAAGGAAATCAAAATCAAAATCACATTGAGATTTCATCTCACTCCAGTCAGAATGGCAGCCATCAAGAAAATAAACAACAAAAATGCCAGTGATAGCCCAGCGCTGGTGGCTCATGCCTATAATCCTAGCTACTCAGAAGGCTGAGATCTGAGGATCACAGTTCAAAGCCAGCACCCACAGTAAAGTCCGTGAGACTCTTATCTCCAATAAACCACTAGAAAACTGGAAATGGCGCTGTGGCTCAAGCAGTAGCGCACTCACCTTGAGCTGAAGAGCTGAGGGACAGTGCCCAGGCCCAGAGTTCAAGCCCCATAAACGACGACAAAAAAAAAAAAAAGAAGCCAGTGAGGATGCAGAGAAAGAAGAACCCTTATATACTGTTGGTGGAAATGTAAACTAGCACAATCACTGTGGAAATCAATATGGAGTTTCCTCAAGAAACTAAATATAGACCTGCTTATGACTAACATACCACTAATGGGCATATATCCCAAAGAAGTAAATCAGAAAGACACCTGAATATCTAGGTTTATTGCAGCTCTGTTCATATTAGCCAAACAATGAAATCAGTCATGGTGTCCAAAAATAGAGGAATGGATAAAGATATGTGATACACACACACACACACACACACACACACACACACACACACACACACACACGAATATTACACAGCCACAAAGAAAAGAAAAAAATGAAACTGGAACTGGAGGTATGGCACAAGTGGTAGAGTGTCAGCCACAACTAAAAAGTCAAGACAGAACATGAGGCCCCAATACTGGCACATACACACATCCACAAAAAATGAAATTATGTCTGGGCACGAATGGCTCACGCCTGTAATCCTCGCTTCTCAGGAGGCTGAGATCTGAGGGTTGCTGTTCAAAGCCAGCCCGGGCAGAAAAGTCTGAGAGCCTCTTCTCTCCAATTAACCACCAAAAGACCAGAAGTGGCACTGTGGCTCAAGTGGCAGAGCGCTTGAGCTGAAGAGCAGCTCAGGGACAGCACCCAGGACCAGAGTTCAAGCCCCACGACCAACAACAACAACAAAAAAGAAGGCCCCCAGAGACCCTCCTGCTACCTGGATAGGGACAGAAGCTATGTGCTCCCTCTTCTGGGAAAATATGGCTCCTCTCTTTCTCCTATGCCTGCCTGCCTCTGCGTAGTCCCCTGGGATGAACGTGAAGGATCCTTTCAGGAATCAGGGTTGTTATTTTAAAATAACCTACATTCCACTAACATGAAGAGATAAGGGTCTCATGGACTTTCTTGCTCCAATTGGCTTCAAACCTTGATGCTCAGATCTTAGCCTCCTGAACAGCTAGGATTACAGGTATGGGGCACCAGCTTCCAGCCTTTGTTATTATTCCATTGGCAATAAACTCCAAAGACATCCCTGGTATTCAGTATGCTGCCTTGGTACAAAATAGGTATTCAAAAATATGGATGGATAATAAAGGTCATCATAGTGAAAAAAAAGAAATTATGCCACTTGTAGGCAAATGGATGGTACTAGAGGACATCATATTGAACAAGATAAGGCAAGCACAAACAAAAAAAAAAATCAAGACATTACATATGTCTCTCATATGTAGGCATACTTATCCATGGACATATACAAATAAACCTACAGCCTGCATATATCAAATAGAACAATGAAACCTATTTCATGGTTTTAAAAAGTGGTGAGGAAAAGGAGAGTGATAAAGGGGGTGAGATTGGATGGAATATATTGTATTCATGAGTGGAAATGTCACAATAAAATAACCCCCACCATGTAACTAATATAGGCTAGTAAAAAAAAATTTTTTTTTGGTCAATTGTGAGGCTTGAACTTGGGACCTGGGCTCTGTCTCTGAGCTTCTTTGTGCTCAAGGCTAGCGCTCTACCACTTAAGCCATAGTGCCACTTCCAGTTTTTGAGTGATTAACTGGAGATAAGAGTCTCATGGGAGTTTTCTGCCCAGGCTGGCTTAGAACCAAGATCCTCAGATATTGGCTTCCTGAATAGCTAAGATTACACGTGTGAGCCTCCAACATCCAGCAGTAATTTTTTTTTTTAAATAAAGTCCACTAAAAACAAATTATAGCAGCTTTCTTATTAGAAATTATATAAGCCAGTATATAATGCAGCAACGTCTTTTAAAGTAAGTACAGGAGGAAAAACAACTAGCAAATCTATGTAAGAAATGTTAATGGAAGTTCTTCAGGCAGGAAAGAAAATGAATGATATTGCAATCTATATTAAGGAATGAAGAATGTTAGAAATGGTAAAAAATAAAAACAAATACAAGACATTCAAAAATGTTAATCTCTTTAAAAGATAAACTGTTTTAAAAAATGCACTGTAGGTGTCATAACTATATATAAAAGTATAATGAATAATAAAAATAGCACAAAAGATGGGAAAATGGAAATATACTGTTGTATGAATCTAACACTGCACATGAAAGAAGCAAGGTTTATTTAAAGGCAAATTGATAAGTCAAACTGTATTATTATAAAACCTAAAGCAGCCATTTAACTAAAATAAAAACTAAAGGGTATACCACCAATAAGCCAACTATAATGATAAAAAGAAGTTAAAAAAAAACACCGCCTTTTCTTCAGACTCATTGAGAAATCCTGCCCATCACATCCTTTACTATTCAGCCTACCATTTTAACAACTCGTTTGCCAAGATGCTAATTGCTTTGCATAGTCATTCTACCCAACTTACCTGGCCAATTATCAACTCTGGACAAATCCAACTATTTGGCTCTCAGGGCCTATAGCAGCCCTGAAGTGGGGGAGAAAAAGTAGTTTCATAATCAAGTCCTATGTATGTATATCAATCCATGGCTACCAAGCTAAGCAGTATCTCAACACAGATGAAAAATCTCACTATCCTCATCAGGCTTTACCATTTTCTGTAATTAGGAAATTCTTTTCCTTAAAAACTTCTCACTCTGGCCAAATATGGGATACTGGGACAGAAGTGAGTTTAAAGCCAAACTTGGTGATTTATTAAGACCTTGTCTCAAAAATCTTTCTTCAGTACCAAGACCATGTTTAGAAGCCACAACCACTGTCTTCTCATTCGTATTGCATTTCTTACTAAAACAGGACCCAAACAAGGAGTCATGCCATATTTTGCATTTGTTACTACAGTCCACTTATATCACTGTCAGATTTGCTGTCTAAATGTCATTCTGTGAGGATAAAATAGCAAATTTGTGTAGTTTGATTTTCTAAAAGGCAAAGCATATATATTTTTCCAATGTGCCATTACTGGGGTTTGAACTCAGGGTTTTCCGCTCTTACTTAGCTTCTTTGTTCAAGGCTGGCACTTTACAACTAGAGTCACATCTCCACTTCTAGTTTTTTATTTATCAATTGAAGATAAAGTCTCATCCTTCTGAGTAGCTAGGATTACAGGTGAGCCACCACCAGCACACAACAAGGGAAACGCGTATTTTTGCTCAAACTTAAGAAATTTGAAGAAAATAGAAAACTTGTGGGATTGTTTTGTCCCCGATTGTAACTCGAACTCAGTACTCAATGCTCTAGCCATGCTTCCAACCCTTATCACATGTTCTTAAGAACAGTGGGTAAAAATTCTATTCCATTTATTTACTTTTTTAAGACTTATCTTGCTATGTAGCAAACTGGCTTAAACTCAGAATCCTCCTGCCTCAGCCTCTCAGGAGCTAGGATTACAACATTTGCCACCATGCTCAGCTTCCTATTTCATTGATTTTCTCTTAAACTTATATTGTGCAATTTTAGAATACATAAAAGTAGAGAAAATGTGTGTGAACCCCCATTTATCCTTTATTTGGCTTCAATAATGAATTATATTGTTTAATAATTATTAATAATTATAATTTAATTATCAACTAATCTTGTTTCATGTTCTATAACAAGGGAGTATTTTATAGCAAATCTAAGAAAATAAAACATCATATCTGTAAATATTTCCTTATATCCCTAAGACATTAGCTTTTTAAAATTATCTTTTTTAATTTTTTATTGTGAAAATACTGTACAGAGGGGTTACAATTACATGGGCAAAATAATGAGTACATTTCTTACCAAGCATTGTAGCCTCCTCCTTTGTTTCCCCTTCCCAAACTCCCCCCGCCCACCCCCCCGCCCCCGCCAAATCCTCACCCCTTTGTAAAATTATCTTAATTATAATATCCTACAAAAGTAATGATTCTTTAATATCACCCATTTTCTAATCTATATTCATTAACGACTGTTAAAAAAAAAGACTGTTTATGGAAGCCAGGCAATAGTGGCATATGCCTGTAATCCTACTCAGGAGACTGAGATCTGAAGATCAAGGTTCAAAACCAGCCCAAGCATGAAGTCTGTGTGAAACCAGCCCAAGCAGGAAAGTCTGTGTGACTGTTACCTTCAATTAACCAGCAAAAACTCAAAAGTGGAGTTGTTCTTAAGGACAATAAATAAAATTGCTATTAATTTCTTTTTTGTAAGACAGTGTCTTAATATGTAGCAAACTAGTTTAAACTGGTAGTGTCCTAGCCTGAGTGAAAAAGCCAAGAGAGAGCTTAAGCACCTAAGTTCAAGTCCCACTACCAACACACATAAAAATAAATAAAAATAAGTAATAAATAAATAAAAATTAATTATGGTTGACTTGTTCAAAGCAGGATCCAAGTCAGCTCTATATATTACATTTGGCTGATATACCCCTTATGGATCTTATGCCTATAGAAGTTATTATTATATCTCTCGTCTTCTACATCCTACCTGCCCTTCTTTCTAGTATCATTTACTGTCCAATGAATCAGTTTTATCTGTCTTTAAGAAACTGTCACATTTTGGGATTTGTCGGATTATCTTGTGCTGTTTATAATATTTTTCTCTAGCCCTCATTATTTCTCATATGAAAATTCTTTTTGCATTATTAATTTTGATGCTGTCAAATTTTTCTTGTCTTTCCTTTTCATCTTATATAATAATAAATATAAATAATAACTCCTATTTCTATCAACTCATGAATGGATAAACAAAATGTGGCATACCCATATGATGAAATATTTATTACTCATTCATAAAAAGAAAATAGTGTTGGGGGGTAGAGTTGAAGTGGTAGAGAGCTTCTCTGGCATGTACAAGCTCTTGGTTCAATCCCCAGCACTATCAAAAAATAAAAATAAATGAAATATTATTACATACTGCAGTACAGACAAACTTTAAAAACACTATGCTAAGTTAAGGAAACCACTTAAAACACCACAACTTATATATTTTTATTTATATTTTTTAAAGTCCTACAGGTATTTTTGCCATAATAGGCAAATATGTACAGACATAGATTATGCATTGCATGTAGATGGAGAGTAGAAGACTGGTGAGTAAAAGGTAAACATTAATTTCTTTCTGAAGCGATAAAAAATGTTTTATAGTGGGCATGGTGATCCAAGACTAATTCAAACATTTAGAGGAGGCCAAGGTAAGAGGATCTCAATTTTGTAGCTACATGGTAAGTTCTAGACCATTTAGAGCTACATAGCAAGATGCTATCACAAAATAAAACTGTTCTAGCCAGGCACCGATGGCTCACGCCTATAATCCTAGCTACACAGGAGGCTGAGATCTGAGGATCATGGTTCAAAGTTAGCCCAGGCAGGAATGTCCATGAGACTCTTATCTCCAATTAACCACCAGAAAACTGGAAGTGGCACTGTGACTTAAGTAGTAGAGAGCTAGCCTTGAGCTGAAGATCGCAGGGACAGGGCTGACAAAAAAAAAAACTGTTCTAAAACTGATTGTGGTAAAGGTTGTATAATTTTGTGAGCAAAAGCCATTGAATTGTACATTTTAAACATGTAAATTTAATGTTAAAGAACTTATGAAACAAAAATAGTGTCTTTGAGAGGTTGAGTATAGTTTAGTAGAACACATGCTTAGCATGCAGGAGGCCCTAATTTCAATGCTGAACACTGGGCAGAAAAAGTGTCTTTTTCATTTGAATGTCTGTATTTACCAGTCCCATATGATTCTCACAATTTCTTAGTAAGTGATGGACTGGAGATATAGCTCAATGGTAGAGTACTTTCCTACAACATGCAAGGCCTTGAGTTCAAGCCCCAAGTCTGCCAAAAAAAAAAAGTTGATGATCATGAACCAAGCACAGTGGCATGTTCCTGTAGTCCCAAGGTAGGCTGAGGCAAGAGCATAATATGATCATAAGAGTTGGATTATGAGGCAGATCCCTGCTTCAAAATCAAAAACAGTCTGATGGTGGCTCACTCAGGAGGCTGAAATCTGAGGAATATGGTTTGACGCCAGCCTGGGCAGGAAAGGCCATGAGACTCTTACCTCCAACAAACAACTCAAAAAAAGCTGGAAATGGTGCTGGAGCAAAAGAAGCTCAGGGACAATACCCAGGTCCTGAATTCAAGTCCCAGGACTATCACTTAAAAAAAAGATATCTTGTTAACTGAAACACATCATTCCATAAATAAGTTACCATTTGCGTAAAAGGACTACATACATACTAGCATTCTGATTTCGCACCTATAGTAATACAAACTGTTATTTGCTATAATATCTTTTAATTTTCTACCATGTTATCTAATACCTCTGCAAATTCTCCTTAACTGCAAAATTAAAACACTGAGGCTGAAAATGCTAAAGGCAACTCACAAGCAAAGCTGAGTGGACAACAGGGGCGTTGGGATGGTCCATAAATAAAATAAGGCCAGGCAGACATCCCTGATCCTGGACAATGGCTCTTCTATTTAATGGATCTGCTGCTAGATCTCGTAGCTGGTTAACTACTGATAGAGCATCAGGTTCTTCATTCATGGTGGAGGAGGAAGAATTCATCTTCTATGTCATGCACATGAAGAAAATCTTCTTAAGTTCTGTAAAAAAGGTTTGCAAAGTTAATTCTAGGTTTCGGAGGTTTAGTATGATAACTGCTAAACAACCAAGATTACAACTTTAAAGAGAAGCAGATGAATGTAAATCACAAAAAAAAATTCTAATTTGAGAAAACTAAAATGAACATAAGAAGCTGCCTAAGAAATGAAGTTGAATGTGCAATGTCTAAAGAACATATGTCAGCCTCAATTTTCCAATATATTTCCTTTTAGCAATACATATTTTAACACCAAAATCACAATAAACAAGATCTTTCAAGCTTGTAATCTTTGGTATACTTCTTAGTATAACAATGCCATGCCTTTTCCCCCCAAGAACATTAATGAGTCTAGAACAAATGCCTTGGGCTGGGTTATGGCTCTAGTGGTAGAGTGCTTGACTAGACCAAGGCCCTGAGTCCAAACTCTCGTGCCGCAAAAAAAAAAGAAGAAGAAGAAGAAGAAAACAAAAACTAAAAAAGTAAGCAACCAGTGCTGAAGAGAAAAATACTAACTGGTAGCTTTTTATTATCTATGAACAGGACTCCAGCTTGCTGAATCTACAAATGATTTAAGAACAAACACAAACAAAAAACCCTAGATATAAAAGAGTCAAAGAAGGTTCCACAAAAATCAAGAAAATTCTTCCATTGTGCCCAGCAGTTTATCTGAACAGTATATCTCAACTGTAGTTTTTTTTTCCAAGTCTCTGCTTCTCCCTGCTCAGACTACTATCTCCTACTACTTCCCTTCCTGTTCCATTTGGCTTGAGCAGTAGTCTTCCACCTTGTAAAGTCCTTTTAAATTCAGTCTATTTTTTTTTGTATAAGTAAACCGAGGACTGGACATGGTGCTACATGTCTATAATCCCAGACCACGAGAGTATAAGGTAGGAAAATCATGAGTCAGTCTAGACAGGGCTACATAGTGAGACCCTGTTGCAAAAAAAAAACAACAAAAACTAAATTAAAAAGCTGGGCACTGATCATTTATGCCTGTAATCCTAGCTACTCAGAAGGCTGAGATCTGAGGATCAAGGTTCAAAGCCAGCCCAGGTAGAAAAGTCTGTGAGACTTTTACCTCTACTAAACTAGCAAAAATAAATAAATAAATAAAAATTAAAAGTCAAAAGTTGAGCCATGGCTCAAGTGGTAGAGCACTAGCCTTGATTACAAGCAGCTCAGAGACTGCACATAGGCCTTGAGTCTAAGCCATAGGACTGGCACACGCATACAAAAAGTACAGAATGGGGCTGGGAAGGTGGCTCAGTGGTAGAGTGCTTACCTCGCATGCATGAGGCCCTGGGTTCGATTCCTCAACACCACATAAGCAGAAAAAGCAGGAAGTGGCGCTGTGACTCAAATGGTAGAGCACTAGCCTTGAGCTCAAGAACTGAGGGACAATGCCCAGGCCCAAAGTTTAGTCCCCATGACCAACCCCCTTCTCCCCCCAAAAAAGTAGAGTATTTGAGTAAATATAATATGCAAGTCAAGAAACAAAACTAAAGAAAAAAATGTCAAGGAATAACCTTCAGAGACATATTCAGGGTCTCACTATATAGACCTATCTGGCCTGACTCACAACTCAGCTGTAAAATAAGGTTAATCACAGCAGCTACCAAATAGCTTACTGGTGAATGAAATGACAACACATATATAAAGGTGAAGTCTAAGTGCCTAACACATTGTAAATGTTCAATAAATAGTTGTTTAAAGTTACATAGTATCAAATATCAATGAAAAGTATTATTCTCAATAAACAGTATTTGAGAAACTTAGCAATTTTAAAAGTTTTAAAATTCCAACTTAGCAATATTAAAACTGTTAAGGAATGTTGAATGGTAACTCCTTTGAACAACTAAAGATAGTTAACACACACACACACACACACACACACACAATGTTTTAATCACAAGGAAGTAATGGTGGCTCACATCTGTAACCCTAACTCAGGAAGCTGAGATCTGAGGATCTTGGTTAAAAGCCTTCCAGGCAAGAAACTCTGTGAGACTCTAATCTCCAATTAACCACCAGAAAGCCATAGCCATAGCACTGGAAGTGGTACTATGGCTCAAAGTGGTAAAGCACTAGCTTGAGCACAAAAGCTCAAGGACAGTGCCCAGGCCCTAAGTTTAAGTACCACGACTGACCAAAAAAAGTCACATTCCAAAGGAAATACATTAAGCTGAATTTTTTTTCAATCTTCAAGCTAATGCAAAACAAAGAATTTGAGGAAAAGAGAACTTTATATAGCAGGTATTTGCTATTCTCAACATAAAATATTATAGTTACTATTGTAATTTTAAAGTCAGGATGGAAGAAAAGGTAATGAACATAACACAGGAAAAAACTAAGGAGTTTAGAGCATATTGTCTCTTAAGTGCCTCTATTGTCAGTGTCCTGAAAAATCTGTTTATAAGCCATCTTCTGTACATTTTTATGCACTATCATCAGTAAGAGTCCTATCCAAACTGGAACCTACAGGCTCAAAGGCCCAAAAGCCAAGTCATAGTGAAAGACCAAATACTCTAGAAAAATGGCTTTTTCATAAAACATAAGCCTTGCAACTGGAAGTTACATTCTTATCTAAGATGTCCTTAATAATTATTCAATGGAAATCTCTAAAGTAACATATATCTTCCTGTTCCTTTGAGATAAACTAAAGTACAATTAAAACTTTCAACCTTTATAGTCCACAGAAAAGAAAAGGACTCACCCAGGACCTGTTTCAGAAAAGGTCAGGAATGCATGGAGGCATCAAAGAATTTGATGAACATAGCTTAACACAGTTGTGGTCAAATGACACATTTCTTATGATACTTAAATGAAGGTAAGAAAAACACACAGAAACTGAGATGTACCCTCCAAATTACTGGTTTTATGTAAAACTCCTCAATATTGAGGGTTTTTGTTGCTGTTGTTTTTGCCAGTGCCAGAGCTTGAACTTGGGGCCTCAAGTTTGGTTGGCTTCATTGCTCACCGTTGTCATTCTGACTCCTGAGCCATCTTATTGCTGGTTAATTGCAGATGGAATCTCAAGAACTTTTCTGTCAGTTTGGCTTTAAACTTGATCCTCCAGATCTAAGCCTCCTGAGTAGCTAGGATTACAAGCATTAGCCACTGGCACCTGGCAAGAGTTCATTTTTATTTTATTATTCTTTTTTTTCCTCTGCTTGATTTCTGAGGCAGGATCTCACCATGTACTCCAGGGTAGAGAACTGCCTGTAGTCTCCAGAACACTGGGATTATAAGTGTGAGCCACCACACTTAGTTAAAAACATTTTAATAAGCTGGGTGCTGGTAGCTCACGCCTGTAATCCTAGCTACTCAGGAGGCTGAGATCTGAGGATTGCGGTTCAAAGCCAGCCCGAGCAGGAAAGAATGTGAGACTCCTATCTCCAATAAACCACTAGAAGTGGTTTATTGTGTGGTGCTGTAGCTCAAGTGCTAGAGTGCTTGCCTTGAGCTGAAGAGCTAAGGGATAGCGCCAAGGCCCACAGTTCAAGCCCCACAACCGACAAAAAAAAAAAAAATTAATAACCCAAATCAATTTTAAGCAACCAATAAACCATAATGCAAGTTAAAAAAAACACAAAACCTTTCTCCTACCTTCTAATACACTACACTAGGCTCAAAAGCAAACAAATTTTCTAGTTGTACTTTTATTGAAAGCACTAATACCAGTAAGTACTGGGCAACCTACACTAGAATAAACTAAGATCTTGTTACAATGCAAATTCCTAGGCACAACACCAGATCTAAGTAGAAATCTATCTTAACAGCACTACTTAGTAGGCCTCAAGACTTAAGCACACTAGGTAATTTCTGGTGCAAATAAGAGCCACTAAAATATATTGTTGTACAAGAGAATGTCTTTTTAATATGGCAACGAACACCTGAATAAAACTGTGATAATTTAGAACTCTACAAGAGACTTTCATGAGTGAGCAACATAAGGTTATGCAAATTTGGCATTAGGTTTGTTTTATTATCAGATATCCAATAAACAGGGGAAAAAAACCCACAGGCAGTAGTAATTCTACCCCTTCCTTCCAAAGAAACTGCTTAGAGTCTAGATAAATGGAATACATCTGTGAGGAAAATTATAATAGGAAATTAGATTCTACACAGATTGTAAGTAAACAGAATGTTCCTAGATTTTTATTTAATGTCAACAGTAGTTAACATTTCTTTTGTCTCAGTCTGCCTTTTATTTTAAAATCAGCAACTGATGTCTAATAAGTTAGTTTTGAGTTAGCTTAAATATTGATGACTATATTTTAAGATTTTGGCCTGCTAAGCTAAATTTGTCAGAATCAATATATTTAAACTTTTAAAAATTCATAGCCAATTATTTTTGCTTTGTCTTTCTATATTTTGGTCTCTTTAGAACACTAATGGACATGTGCCTTTATTTTCTCTTATGTTTAGTTAAATTTGGACAAAAATTATAAGAGAATGAATGTTTGAAAGTGTGGCTCAAGTGGTAGAACGCCGGCCTTGAGTGAAAAACAAAGCAAGAGCAGAGGTCTCTGAGTTCAAACCCCTGGTTGGCGCGCGCGCACACACACACACACACACACACACAAATGCTCTCTAATTCACACACACAATGCTCTCTAATCTACGCGCGCGCGCGCACACACACACACACACACGCACTATGCTCCCTAATCTTTACGGAATCACCTAAGGCATCTTGTGTTAAAAGCAAATTCTGACTGAGTAGTTGGAGGAGTGGGCCTGAGGTTCTCAGAGTTCTAACAAACTTCCAGATAAGGAAGAGGTGACATTCTAGAAGCAAGGAGCTTGATCTGTGTGAGACACCTGTAATTGGACAGATGCCTGAAAGGTTTTCTTTCCTCTCAGCCAAGATCCACCATTTAAGTCATACGATTATTTTGCTCTCACAAGCTAAGAGCTGCAGAGTCTTTATTGAGAAGAGGTTTAAAAACAAAAAACAGAAAACAACTTCTGAAACAAGCGTTGAAATCAGATCTGGCTTTCTCCTCCATAGTAACTCTAACTCATTGAGAGTTCCGTTCCCTCCTCCAAGCTTCAGATTCCTCAAAAAACAATCTGGTACGGATGTCAAAAATCACGGAAAATAACAACGTGAAGTGACTCTAATTGTCATCACGGCAACTGTCACGCTAGCAAAATACTTTCTCCTGTGAGGATGTCAATCCCGCCTGGTGTTGGGGAGGTGTCACTAAACGAGGTGCTGAAAGCACAAATGCCCACAGAGATGCCGTCCAAAGATATGAACGCGAGTTGCTTTTTAGGCCAAACACACCACGTCGTTCTGCTCTTGGGAAGACCTACGGGTGCATGAGACGGTCACCAGAGAACCAGAGGAGGTGACATCCTTTCCTGACAAAGCAAGAGCTTCGTCAAAGTTGGGTCGGGGGGGGACGAAGAGGAAGCTAACCTTTCCACCGGGCACGAGGAGTGGGGTGTTTTAAAGCGCCCCAGGAGCCGCAGCCCAGCGCCCGAGAACGGTGGGCAAAGGCGACGACGCTCCTTCCCGGGCCAATCGGCCGCCTCAGTACCGGGGCCGCCTTCCAAGGCCTTCCCCGCCCCACCGCTTTGTCCGCCGTCCCTGGACCCCACGTACCGCTCCAAAGGTCTAGGCGTCCAAATCTAGTCGCACCATCAGGGACGCACCGAGCGAGGTAGCGGGGGCCAGGCAGCGCAGAGCGAGTCCCCGCGGCGGGAACTGCGGCCTGGGCAATGGCAAACAACCGGCCTAACTCAAGGAACCAAAGAGCGAAGGCCTGGTGGGGAAGGCTCTGCAGACTCGCCCCAAGTGACCTGTCGCTTCGGCCGGTTTTGCTCTCTCATTGGTTAATTGTGGCTCCAAAGAGAGGAAAATTACCCAATCAAAGAAGGCCTTCTTAAAGCGAAGCGCTCATTGGTGAACTGGAGAAATGCACGGAAAGGGCTCAAAGGACTGGCCCAATGAGAACCCAGAACACTGGATTGACCCTCAAGGCTCGCCTTCCATCAAGCGCTAAACGGAGAAATTTGATATTCCAAGGAGAACCGGCGGCGTTTCCTGACTACAGTTCCCGGCGTTCCTGGCGCGGCATGGCTTCTCCGCTGCGGTCACCAGAGATTAAAACGGAATGATTCCTCCTTTGGCGACGTTTTCAGTGCTAATAAAGTAGTTTCCCATTTCATCTGCTTCTGTGAGTCTGAACCGTCTTTAAAGTGTTTTTTGTTGTTGTTTATGCCAATCCAGGGCCTTGAACTCAAGGCCCGGGCGCTGTCCCTGAGCTTTTGTGTTCGAGTCTAGTCACTTCTGGCTTTTTGGTGGTTGAGGACGAGTCTCACGGACTCTTTATGTCCAGGCTGGCTTCGAACCGCGATCCTCAGATCTCAGCCTCCTGAGTAGCCAGGATTACAGGTGTGAGCCACTGGCATCCGCTCAAAGTTTGTTGTCTTTTAACCGCCAAGATTGTCCCCTTCGGCGATCCCTGCGTTTCGTTTGTCTCCTGTTCGTGTCCGCTGTCACTCTAACAAAGCTAAAGATGCAAAGTACCGTTTTCTTCGTTGGAGTGATAACTTTTTTAAATCAATTGAAATATAGTTGTTTTTCTTTAATATTGTCTCCTGTTTGTCACTTGGGTCACTCTTCCACTTCTGGCTTTTTATTGGTTAATTGGACATTTTACTGCCAGGCTGGCTTCGAACCGCGATTCTCAGATCCCATCCTTTTTAGTAGCTAAGATTACAGGTATGAGTCACTGGCGCCTGGCTTTGGGTTTTATTTTTTACAGAAATTCTCGACATGTAATCTAAATGCCCCAGACCAATTTTTTGAGAATAGTGGGCTTTGATTGCACTCAACCCTTCTGGATAGTTTGGATTTGCCCTTTCACCGTTTGATTCTGCTCTCACTCATATGTTAAAGTTAGACTTCTAATGGAGAATTTGAGTGGGAATAAATATCCTTTTTCTAGTATCTTGGATACCTCATAAATGAATTTAAAAACCAAATGGTTACTTTATTTGAATGTCTCTGTGTTCTCTTGTTTGGGGTTATCTTATTGTAATCAAGTCCAAAAGAAAACAGCAGCTTTAATCATAAAGCTAAGTAGAAAACAATTACTAGTCTCTGTCACACCATTTGACCTAAAACAAAAACAAGTTTTAATGTGGTTTGGATTTCCCAAAGCCACAAGAGGATGATAGGTAGGTAGAATAATGATAGGTGAATTCTGAGTCTAAAAGAAAAAGGGGGAGAAAAGTGATATGAAGAATAATGCCCAGCTCCTTTGTAACAATCTGCTAGACCACCTACTGTTGGCAAAAAAAAAAAAAAGAGAAGGGAGAAAAAAAGTACAAATCTCTTTTTAAAACTCAAAAAGTAAATAAAGTTCAAAGGGCAAGTCAAGGTTAAACATAAACCATCTGGTTAAATAAATGATGTTTTAGTATTAACAGGAAAATAGACTTGATAAATTTGTTGCTTTTGCTAATGTTAATTTGTATATTAGGGGAAAAGATTGCATTTTTTCAAGTACTATTCTGTGGCAGATTTTTTGACAATGTCCAGAATACGTGTTCCACAGAGTATTTTTTAGAAATTCACAATCTAAAATCCAACATACTCTTTGCCTCTGTCATTAAATTATTGAGGAGATTAATTCTTCCTGCAAACTTCTGTTACAACAAAAACATGACTGGCATTAAAAACCAGTGCATACAGTCATACAAAAAAAAATTACCAGTTTCTTAAGCTATGGATTATTGCCTCAGAGATGTCTTTACAGTTTTAAGAATTCATAATCCCACACTAAAAGTGTCTGAACTTGACACCAATGAAATTATACTACAACCACTATGAATCATTGCTTGTTCTTAGTCTTGGACATCATGCCACAGGACAGAGCTGGAATGCCATGTTTCTTAATAGCTTAGTTGCTTAAGACACATTTATATACTAGCTGTTTGATTTATTGAATTACTTAACAATCCTCACTTTGAACATACATAGACAATCTAACCTATGAATTCAAAGGTAGATAAAACAAAACCCTTGCCCTCAAAGAGTCTAAGGATCTCAAGGAGCAATGGTTTCAAGAAGTTTTTGATCAATCCTTTTCCACTTAAAAAGTTTGTTGAAGCTAGGTACTAGTGGCCCATGCCTATAATCCTAGCTATTCAAGGAGTTAATATATGAGGATCATAAAGGCAGCAAGGCAAAAAAGTCCATGAGACTCTTATCTCCAGTTAACTACCAAAAAGCCAGAAGTACAGCTGTGGCTTGAGTTGCAAGGTGCTCACCTGTAGCTAAAAAGCTCAAGAACAGTGCCAGGCCTTAAATTCAAATTCCAGTGCGTGTGTGTGTGTGTGTGTGTCTGTGTCTGTGTGTGTCTGTGTCTGTGTCACACACACAGACACAAGTACATAGAGAGGTCCAGGTGGATAAGGAAGAAGGGAAAGATGAGGTGGAAGATAGGCAATAAAGTTGAAAACAGTGACTACAAAAGGGATGGACACAAGATCACTGACAGGAAGTTAAGTGAATTTGTAGTGTAATCCATCTCAGATAATGATAATGATGTAAAAAAAAAATGAAGAAAATTCTGGTGTCAGTCTCTCACAACTGAAATCCTAGCTATCAAAAATCTGAAATCTTAGAATTGAGGTTCAAAGCCAGTCAGGGAAGACAAATCTATGAGACATTCTAACTATCAAAAAGCAAGAAGTAGAGGTAGCCCAAATGGTAGAGTGGCAGTCTTAAGCTGGGTGGAGGGCGCTAAGCAGAACTGTAGGACCCTGAATTCAAACCTTAGTACTGACACAAAAATAAGGAGGGAGGGAGGGAAGAAATTCCTGCAGCAGCTTTTCCTCAAGGAAAAGCAGTGAACATCGCAGAACTAACAGCTGTCATAATTCAACAAAACTATACAGAGTGTGATCAAGCAAGTGAATGTTGCAGAAGACACCAACATAAATGGTTAAAAGTGACATCTGGATTTTTCACAAGCCCTTTTGATTTAACTGAAAGGTTGCCTAGCATGCTGAACAAATTTAAAGAGTTGGTTCCAAACATCTCTGAGAATTGTGAAACTTTGGGAAGGTACTACCAAGTCTGTGACCCTTCTACTAAGTGAAAGATGCATTCTCAATGCTCCATGAATTGTTCTGCACATGCACCAACAATCTCAGGATGAACTTAGTAAGGAGCACATGCAATAATAAGCCATACAGAAGTGATATTTCTCCCTGCTCATTAGTCAGATGTCTATGGAAGAAAGAAAACTCAATTTCAAGAAGAGATAGACCCGCCAAAGAACAATCTATGTTTCTAAATGCAGCATAAGAAAAAAATTTGGGGGGCTGGGAAGGTGGCTAAGTGGTAGAGCGCTTGCCTTGCATGCTCGAGGCTCTGGGTTCGATTCCTCAGCACCACATAAGCAAAAAGAAAAAAGCCGGAAGTGGCACTGTGGCTCAAGTGGTAGATTGCTAGCCTTGAGCTGAAGAGCTGAGGGACAGCGCCCAGGCCTAGAGTTCAGGTCCCACGACCGGACCCCCCAAAAAAAAAGAAAAAAAAATTTTTGCAATGAGAGTCCTAAAGTACAGCTACCCACCAGAACATGGGTGACACTTGTTTGAATGGCAATCTAGTGATGATGTAGCAATGAGGTCTTTGCAAATTGTGATGCTAACTCAAGGCAACAGATGTTTGTAATGATGGAAAAAGAATTTCAGTCTTTCTAGCCCATTTCCCATGGATAATGAGAAATTTGTTTTTGTAAAATTATGAGAGAATTCAATGGAGATTTACTGATTTTTGTTGATTAAACTCTTCTACAAAAAGTAGGGTTCTGTTTCATGTGTCTTACACATTTACAAAATAATGTTTTGTAATAAAAAAATTTTATAAAAAACTTTCTTGCTGGAGCCAGGTACTGGTGGCTCACGCCTGTAATCCTAGCTACTCAGAAAGGTGAAATCTGAGGCTCGAGTTTCAAAGCCAGCCAGGGCAGGAAAGTCCATGAGACTCTTATCTCTAGTTAACCACCAGAAACCCAGAAGTGGAGCTCTGGCTCAAATGGTAGTCTGAAGTACATTTCAGGGATAGTGCCCAGGCCCTGAGTTCAAGCCCCATGTCTAGCACATGTATACACACACACACACACATACACACACACACACACACACACACACACACTACTTTGGTCAAATTTTAAATAATTGGTTACAATTTTCCAATAACAAGAAAATTAATATTACATTTTTACCTCACAATTGTGATCTCAAAAATATAAATCATAGGAATAAATACTAGCAAATAAGAAAGATAAATGTTTTTTTGCAACGTTGTTTATACTAGAAAATAAAAATAATGGCCAACAACTCTTATCAGTAGTAAAACAAATTTTTTTTATTGTGAAAATACTGTACAGAGGGGTAACAATTACATGGGCAAGATAATGAGTACATTTCTTATCAAGCATTGTAGCCTCCTCCTTTGTTTCCCCTTCCCATCCCATCCTCCCCCCCCCCCCCCCACCAAAGTTGTAAAGTTCGTTTTCAACATAACGACTTGTACATCTCATTGTTGCAATGGGTTCACCTGTATCCCTATTTAAACGATATGTTTTTTTCCCTTCCCCTCCACAAATTATAACAACATCAAATACAGTGAAAGAAGGGGTTATACTGTGGGGGAGGGACATACAAAGCAACAAAGACATAATCTTATAAATGTGTTAGAAACAATCGCATGAAAGAAAAAACATTTGAATACATATCTTAGCGTTCATTTCCCTAACATCAAGTTA